CTATATGCCAAATGAGTCTAATCAACCTCAAAGAGGTTTTTGCACTCATGGTGAGTCTTTTCCTTTAGCCAAAACACTCATGACAGTAAGTTGACATCACCCGGTGCCAGATTTTACCATGATGGCATGTTCACATCACCCACCCCTAAGCTAAATTTTTTCATGATTTGATGGTCACATCATCCAGATCAAAGGGATCCATGTTCCAGCATGTAGCCCAAAATCTGGCTTACTTGAGTGGGTGTGTGGTTTGTTGGCCAGGTGCACATGAACTTATGTGTGGTGACAAGATTCCATGCCCCCCTTTTGGAATGTTATTTTCTCTTGTTCTGCATAACTATTTTTAGTTTTTTTGCCATTTTCTAATGTCTATAGTTGTCATTTGATTTGCTGTATCCAGACAGTAACAGACTATTTTACTTGCACAAACTCCATACCATCTCTCTAGGCATCAAACTCCATACCATCTCTCTAGGCATCCCATTATCACCATAACTCAGTGCAACAATAATAACAAAGTAACATTTTGTTATTAGTGTCTTTTTTTCTTTTTGTAATATTCAATTTTCTGTAATAGAACCTGTGCCACTGGTCACAGCAGTAAGGAATAGGATCCCAAGCATGGAAATGGCTTCCTCCCTGAAGCCGGCACTCTTCCAATCATGGCTCACAGATGGTGTACTCCACATTAGAGGGGCAATAACCCCTCTAATCACTTTCCAATGTTTAATGTTTAATGTTTGAACCAAATAAATGTGCTAGACATCAAAGGTCATATAGCACTCTGGTAAAATATTGTGCTGTAAAGGGTAAAGAGGAGTTAAAGATTAGGATAAAATGTGTTAGATGTCAAAGATTAGAGAGCATTATAAGATAGTATGGTAGTGAAAAGGGAAAAAAGGGGAGTAAGAGAACTAGAGCAGAGATTAGTAGAATGGGGAGGGTTATGGCAGTAGGGCAACTGAGTAAATTATAGTGTATCTGTCACTGGGGAAGGTATAGGAACAATGTTCAAGGAAATAGAGATAGATATTGGAAAAGTAGGAGAAGAATCTGGGGATAGGGAAAAGTGTTAGATGTCAAAGTTTAGAGGGTGTTACAGGGAAGTATGGTAACGAAAAGGGAAAAGAGGGAGGTAAATGAAGTAGAGCAGGGATTAGTAAAATGGGAAAGGTTAATGGGGTAGAGCAATGAATGAGTGAACTGCATTGTATCTGTGACAGGGGAAGGAATAGGGACATTGTTCAAGGAAAACAGAGGTGGTTGTTGGAGAAGTAGGAAGAAAAGAATCCGGGGGATGAAAAATGGGGCCTGGGGGAGGTGGTGAAGTATCAGAAAGAATGTCTGGAGGGGAGGAGTCTGGAGAAGGACACTGTTGTGATAGAATGGATTCATGTGAGTATTAAAGTGGGAACAACAGAGAGGGTGGGGTATGTTGGGATGGTGTAGGAGGAAGAGGGGTGGAGGGAACTTGAGGAGGAGGAGGATGGATCTCTGCAAATAATGAAATGTAAGAGTAGGAACAGAGGGATTGGGGGTGGGTGAGGGAGCAAAGTGTTCCCTTGGATCATCTTTAGGAAGTTTTGGATGTCTTCAAGGGTTTCTGGAGGGGAGTTGGGTGTCGAGGACTGAGAAACAAAGGTTCTCTTATGAGAAGAGGACATAGATATCTAAGGAGCATACAAAGAGGAAGGTTTAGGAGAGGATGTAGTAGGAGAGGGTGGAGTGGAATGTTTAGGCTGCCTGCTGAGACAAATAAAGTGAGGAGAGGTAGGTATTGAGGAAGTGGTAGATTTAGACTGACAAACAAATTTGACCAGGGGATAGGGTGAGTATGCATAGGAAAGATACTGGGGAGATGCTGAAACATCTTGTGAAGATGGTAGAGGAGCAGAGTGAAGGACTGTTTTAGAATAAGTTGAGAGAGAAAAACCTTGTTGTCATGCTTCTTGTCTGGCCTCACACAGAATGAGGCCTAGTTTAAATCTGAGGACTGCTACGTCACATTCAAGCTTATAGGCAGAGCAGCTCCTACAAAATACATTATGGGAGTCTCCACAAATGGCACATGTATGTCAATGAGAAGGGCAATTGGGCTGTGGAGCAACAGTGTTTGGTTGGGTGGCCAAAATGCCAACATTTCTGACACTGACAAGGAAGGGGTCAATATGGTCAGACATGGTAGGACAATCCACCAATATGAACTTCATGAGGGAGGTCATGTCTACGGAAGCTAATCCTGGCAATATTGACAGGAATTTGGCTGGCCTCTGGGAGGAATAGTGTAACACTGTACTACCACAGCATCATAATCAGCAAATCAGGTAAGTAGGTCATTTTCAGTCTGACCAATCCTTGTTGTAGATAGGACAAGTATTTGGAGAGATAGAAACAGTTCCAGTGCAAGTATTAAGAGAGGGGTGAGATTTGACAGGAATGAGTTTGCCAGTGAGGTCAGTTAGAGTAGATAGTGAACAAGCTTGGGATTACCTTGCCTACTTGTTTTTGGAGGCACTATTGAAAGAGAAGGGTATTCTCAGAATAGGGGGCTGTGAGGGGGATCACAAAGAATCAATCCCACTTTGCTGGGCCAAAAAGAGTACTCAAAAGGTGTGCAGAGGTAGAAGCAGCAGAAGGACGAGGGCGAGAAGAAGATGGGGTGGTATGGAGTGGAGTAGTTCTGTGAGGGGAAGGACAATAAAGATGAAGTGTAGTAACAAGGGAAGAGGGGGCAGACATTGAAGAGGACTGTGCACTAAGTGATGGAGAGGAGAATGTTGGGAGAGAGGAATGGTTGCTTTCAGGAGGTTGAGTAATAACCTGGGTGGGTGTTTTGGAATGGATAGAGTTGTCAGTAAGTGTCTAAGAGGGGGTATTAGTATCAGTGGTCAGAGCTATAGTCAAAGGAGGGGCAAGGGTCAGAAAACCATCAAAATCAAATTTAGATAGGCTAGTTGATGGGAGGGGCAAGCCTTAATGCCCCTTCATTACTGGTAATGGTGAGCCAAATAAAATGGGGAAAGGAAATGGTCTACCCCTCAGGGTCCCCAGAATTCCTAGAATAAGGTAAATGTGTAATGCACAAATAAAGACTAGCAGTGCCATCTGATCTAGGACTCATTTGGGCTAGCAGGTAACAGACTTATGTTTGAAAAGTTTAATTTTACACGGCAGAAAATATATGTATTCCTCTGGCATGGCAAAATATTATTGAATAGTAGGGTATCAAAGCTGAAAATTTTACCCATTGTTTAAAAGCAAAAAGAGAAACATTTAACCCGTTGGATCTGGTTGCGTAATAGAAATCACTGTGCTGAAAACATGGGCATTGGATTACATAAGTGGCCAACATTCCAGGTATGCGGCATGTAGGCCGGGCGTGCATGAACACCCATGTGTGGTGACAAGACTGTGCCTCTCCTTTACAAAGTTATTTTGTGTAAACGTTTTTTTTAGCATTATCACCATTTTCCAATGTCCATATATGTCTTTTGATTTGCTTTATCCAGATGGTTATAGCTTATTTTCCTTGCACAGTCCATATCATCTCTCAATGTGGTAAATAACTCAATGCAAGGAGAAAAAAAATGGAATATTTGGTTATTGGTGTAATCTTTCTCATTTTTTTGTAATTTAAAATTTTATGTAATACAATCTGCACCACCGGTCACAGCAGCCAGGAATACAAAGCACAGCATGAAAATGCATCCTAAATGGAGCCGGCACTCTTCCAGTCGCTGCTTACGCACGTTACATTCCACATTCATATATCGATAAGAATAATGCTAAAAAGCCAAATGAGTCAAATCACACTCTATGAGGTTTGTGCACTCGTGGCAAGTCTTTTCAGTCACCTAGGCCTTTGCTCATGATGGCAAGCTCACATCACCCAGGCCTTTGCTCATGACGGCAAGCTCACATCACCCAGGCCTTTGCTCATGATGGCAAGCTCACATCACCCAGGCTTTTGCTCATGACGGCAAGCTCACATATACCAGGCCTTTGCTCATGATGGCAAGCTCACATCACCCAGGCCTTTGCTCATGACGGCAAGCTCACATCACCCAGGCCTTTGCTCATGATGGCAAGCTCACATCAACCAGGCCTTTGCTCATGATGGCAAGCTCACATCACCCAGGCTTTTGCTCATGACGGCAAGCTTGCATCACCCAGGCCGCAGCCAACATGTTCACAGCACCTGGCCCTTGACTCAAGTTTTCCATGATGTTACCGCAACATTATCCAGGTCCAATGGGTAAAATAAAATATATCACAAACATAAAATCACAATAACTTAAATAGAAATAAATCATGTATTTATACTTGTATAATAAACATATGAAAAGAGACCAAGATAATGTTGTGGATAGCTCTTCCAATAGCAGAGGAGAATGAATGACAGGAAAGGATGGAGTTCTTGGAGAAGGGGTAGACGATAGCTGGTATCGAAGGCCTAGTGGGGTTGGTGGTAGTAAAGAGGACACTCCCATGTGGCTTTTTAGGCTGGAGCAAAAATCCTAATCAGTACCAATTGTACTAATTTTCACGCATTGTATCCCATTATCACCAAAATATATATGAGAAAGCTAACCGATTTTTAAAAGTTAAAGCTCTATGAAGGCAACTTTGCTTCACCATACAATTCACAAATATGCTCAAATGAGGTATTCCTTAGATTTTTTAGATTAAAGCTTACTCCACTTCACCTTAAAAAAGCAATTCAATCTATACCAGACACAGTATTCAGACATTTAAATTTCATTCGATTCCTGGACAAGCATGATGCCTTATTACATATACATGACTAACAATATCTTTCATTGATTGCTTAATCAGTTGTAAAATAATCCTGAATTGTACTATGTTCTCTAGTATTCATTTAATCACTTTAAGTATCTTTTCACATACTAATATAGAATAAAAAAAAGGAGAAAAATTCATTACAATACACAGCATTCTTATAATAGTAAGCAATATAGTTAAATGTAGTATGGCCTTAC